CTGTAGTGTCATTGGGACGCAGGGTAATGACACTAGAGAAGTAAACCTGCGTCCTAATGACACTAGAAAAGTAAACCTGCGTCCTAATGATACTAGAGAAGTAAACCTGCGTCCTAATGACACTACAGAAATAAACCTGCGTCCTAATGACACTAGAGAAGTAAAAAGTAAACCTGCGTCCAGCCTGCGTCCTAATGACACTACTTTGCTTCTCTAGTGTCATTGGGACACAGGTTTGCTTCTCTAGTGTCATTAGGACGCAGGTTTACTTCTGTAGTGTCATTAGGACGCAGGTTTACTTCTGTAGTGTCATTAGGACGCAGGTTTACTTCTCTAGTGTAATTAGGACGCAGGTTTACTTCTCTAGTGTCATTAGGACGCAGGTTTGCTTCTCTAGTGTCATTAGGACGCAGGTTTGCTTTTCTAGTGTCATTAGGACGCAGGTTTACTTCTCTAGTGTCATTAGGACGCAGGTTTACTTCTCTAGTGTCATTGGGACGCAGGTTTGCTTCTCTAGTGTCATTGGGACGCAGGTTTGCTTTTCTAGTGTCATTAGGACGCAGGTTTACTTCTCTAGTGTCATTAGGAATCATGTCAGTGTTTATAAAATTAAAACAGTAGACAAAAATTAACCTAATCTGTTATGAATCTTCCGTTCCTTCCATATATCTGTCAGAGGATAGATCTTCACTAAATTACTGAAAACCTCTCCTTTTCCATTCAGGCATTATGCTGATGTAGCACTGTCTGATTGGTTGGAAGATGGCTAATCATATTATAAGTTATAAACAGATTGTACTCTGGTGCAGTTCATTTTTATAAAACAGAGGTGGAAGGAGTAATTAAATAATATGAGGGTTTAAAGCCCATTTTATTCACTCCTTCCATGGTAATTTGTAATACCGTATGTATTATACAAGTACACGTATATGCAGAGTAAAACATAATAAATTTATGTAAACAAAATGCTTTGCTGCGTATTAATATGCAAATTTTTATATTTACTAAATACACTAACTGACCTTTTTTATTGGGATCACTTAACCATTCAATTTATTTATTTATGTATTGCGCAAAATAAAGTATCAATGAGATGTGTCAGGGAATTATTTAAGCAGAGATGTAGTTACAATATGATTAGTCTATCAGGCAATAGTAAGAGCAAGGATCTTTTTGACTTTCAAAGGGACTTGTTGATGGGTGCTCGTCTGGCGTAAGCGTTCTTATCAAGTTGGTAAAAAAACATTATCAACTTTTTAGCAAGTCAGTATCAAGCTTGTATGTGTGAAAATGTAGAAGAAATATTTAAACAAAAGATAAATAACAAAACTTACACGCACCTAGAGCACATATACAGTATTTTTTGTTCAACACCTAAAGCTAAAACTGTTAATTCTATCAACCTTTACAACTTCGCTAGAACGAGATTACCTGTCACGGTTAAATGTGTTTCCATTCTTTTCTGACCAATGGGGTTCTTTACTAGGCAAACGTACGTTCCACCATCACGAACACTGGTCTTTCGAATATAGAGGGAGCCACTAATTTGAATAATATCAGCACTTGTTGTTATGGCAATTAAGTTGGTCCCCTCTTTCCTGTACCAACTAATAGATAAAAACAGAATAATTTTATATAAAGATTTTTTTTTTTTGTAATTTAATATAACACGTACTAAATTCTAATTTAATTTTCTTCAAAATATTCATAATGAACTTAATGAAAACATTAAAATTATTTGTTGAAATATACTGTCCAAGTTCCTGGCACATTACTGTATATACTTCAATTTTCAAAAGATACTGATCGCTATATATAACTCTAAACACCGGGTTTTGAAACCCGTGGTGGGCACACTACAGATAGCCCATTGTATAGCTTTGCGCCTAACAACAAAACAAAAAAAAAACTGCCTGGTTGAAACGTATTGAATGTCTTTGCATATAAAACTACAAAATGGGCTATTTACGCTGTGCCCGTTGCGGGTATCGAACCCCGAATATTATTGTTATACGCCCACCGAAGAGAGCAAGAGAGTTTCTGGTTTGTTTGTAATTATGCACAAAGCTACACAATGGGCTATCCGTGCTCTGCCC